TTACTATGGTAACTTCTCAAGTAGTATAAATAGAGAGGTAGAGTAGCACCTCTCAAGCAAGTTTGGAGAGTCATGTGTGAGGACTTGTTTCAATAATGAAGGAGTGAAGTTTTCGAGTATCTTGGAGTATCGACGTGTGTTTGCGTTTATGTGAAGAGGGTGATGTGAGGAGAGTTTGTGTGTGTGAGTTGGAGTGATACATGAGAGTTTGTGAGAGAAGGTGTTTGTGACATGAGTGAGAGTATGAATCCTAGTCTTCTAGAACCATGATGCGCTACCACAAAGCCATCAGAGGTAGACCTGAGTGAGAGTCAGCCCGGAGGTTGCAGCACTGCGGGGCGGAGCGAGCTACTTAACTACACTTCTTGATGAATAATGTCAGAATGAACGGTTGGTTGGCGGCCATGACCACATTCTTCTTCATTCGACATACTTTCTTCTGCACGGGAGGCACCACCCCGTTGGTCACTTGATTGATCTTCTTCTTTGCTTTTGGACGCGGGTCCCACTGTCAACCTCCTGCTCATCATCAGATTCGTGTACGTCCAGCGGGATGCATGGAAAATACGGCAAGTGTTTCGCCAAAATCAAAATATACTTCTTTGCCAGTGATCGCAGCTACTTGACGCTTAGTTTGATCAACGGCGTTTTGGGTAGCTTGAGGATGTTCATGGAACCTTATTCAAACGATTTGATGTCAGCACCCCACAACTCGTTGTGTTCGCGCAACAGATTCGATTGATGTTGTTGACGCTGATGAGCGAGATCATGAGTGCTTTTGAATTGGGCGTGTTCACAAGATGGCGCATCATGCAGACTCCATGATCATCTCAAAGAAATACATACGCTCATACCCCAAACTCATTTGCTGAAGTACTTCGAAAGCAGCGGCTCCCAGCCGCAGAGAATGGGCAGTTCCAGTCTTCATGATTGAGGAATTTTGCAGCGATAGACTTCACCCTGTTCCATCGTTCGATTATGTTCATCGTGTGATACAAGTTTTCCTTCCGGATCACATTACGCCAATGGGCAACCACGCGATCGGCCTCATTGTGGAAATGTATCGGCATCACGAACACAATTACGACCTTCTCGTACACGAACAGCGACAACATGGCAAAGATCTGCATGATTCCATGCGACTTGTTCTGGCCAACGCAATTGTTGAGTATCATGAACAAGATCCTTAGCGGATACAACTTCTTAGAAATCTCCAAATGGTGACATAGCCGCATACTACATAGGGCATCGACGCCTTTGCCTTGCCCTCGCTCGTCATACAACATGACATGGTTGATCCCATTCGAGAGGTCGGCGATGTCAAAGTTTTGCATCATGAAGTTGGATTGGAAGTAGTCCACCGACGGGCGCTTTGAATCGTAGACAGGGAGCGCGAAACTTCCTCCATAGTCCTCAATCTCGATCTGAATTTTTACGTCGACATTGATCACGTTAGAAGCGATGCTGTCGTCTGGACTGCCACAAAGATCATAGATCTCCTCATCTGGAGGAAAAATGACTATCGAGTCCGCAATGATGATCTGAGGTAGCAGCTGTTCCGATGCGTGCTTACTTGCAAACTTTCTAGTGAATTCTGAAATGAATCGCCGTTGTGCAATGATGGCATCAAGATGCATCTCTTTCTCCGAGAGCATACTCAGAAGAGACATCGATTTGTTGCAGCTTGATGTCAAGACGAACACACGCATTGCACAAGTCTTGCACGCTGCGGCTAGGTCTCGGCAGGGTAAGGTAACCTTTTAGGGTTACCCGATAAAAGGGTAAAAGGTAAGAGTAAAAGTTAGAGGTTTGGCTATAAAATATGGTAAAGGTAAGGTAAAGATAGATCCAACTAGGTTACCCAGTAATTCACGGGTAACCCTTGTACCCGTGAAAAACAAAAACGTGGATCCTTTCAGAATTATTCAGAATGTAATTTTGCATATTCTCTTGACGGGATCCAGGAAACAACAATGTAGATTTAAGTCGAATTGGTAAGGGTTTAGGGTTAAGAGCAAGCGCTATTGTGCAGAATCTAGTGAGAGCACAAAGTGTAGATAAGGAGTCAAAAGTTTAACCTCTTGCACATAACGGCCTCAGACAAAGATGAGCTGAAGAGTTTTCAGTCCATCAGGGAAGTATACTAAACAGGTGATTCTATTACCTCTACCTTTTACCCTTTAGGGTAGAGTTAATAGGGAAATTATCGAGGAACCCTGATGTAAGAGTAACTTTTAGAACTTTAAAAATCTGTATCAGATACTTGGGTAATTACATTGAGGTAGAAGTAAAGGGTAAAGGTAGACAATAGTGACGCGAGTAAGGTAAAAGGTAAAGTAAAGGTAAAGGTCCATGGCTTACCTGGTTACCGTTTACTATACCTTGCCGAGGTCTAGCTGTGGCTGAGGCAAAGCCCGAGATATAGAAAGCGTATGTACTGCTTCCACTGAGACAGCGACAACACCCGGACGTCGGCTGCAGTTTGAACCTGGGCGTGAATCCGCGTGGATTGACAACCACGTTACGCCTTTCTTGATAAAATACTGCAGTGATCACCGGTGCGAGCACGAGAAGCCATCCTCCAGCTCGAACGTTTGTGCGTGATCTTTGATAGCGTCGAGCTCAACAGAAGTGACTGCGTGCTTAGAAGTGGGATGAATGCGTCTCATTGCATGTTGGTCCGTAACCGTGTGATCCCGAAAGGCTTTCTAGAGGCGACTGATCTGATACCCTCCTACTTCCAACATCGTGCGGATCTCTATCTGGGAACTGCCAAGTTTGAACAACGCAATGATGATCCCATCCCCTTCCGCGTGCTTCCATGCATCCAAAGATTTCCAGGTTGCAAGCAACTGAACTATCTACTCGACTCTGAGCTTAATTTCAACCCGGCTCCTCGCATTGACCGCGCGATCACACCTTTGACGCTTCTTCAGATGCACGATGGTTTGGAATGATCCACCAACGCCACCAAAGCGGTGCGGTAACGTCGTCGATGGTGCAATAGTGCTCACCCTGGTCGCAATCGATCGAGCAAGCTCCGGGGTTGAAGCAGGCGAGGGCGGAACGGGAGCACCGCTGGAAGAAGAGGCTCTAGATGGAGAAGGTGGCGACTTTTGTGGATGAGGGATGGTGGAGGGACGATGAATCTACTCTAACAGGCTAAAGGGTTGGGGAACGTTTTCATGAACGCAAAGGTCTCGTCCAAAGCATGATTCAACATGGGGTTGAACTCCCGAGCGAGTTTGCCCTCAGCTCGATGTCTAATCGAAGAATGCATGCGATTGTTGAGCTCGTGCTCAACAATCGCATGCATTGCAAACGGGGAAACGGATGCTGGGTCAGCCGCGGAGTACATTCAGCAAAAAAAATGACTCCACCGAGAATAAATAAATTAATTCACTTAAGCGCTTAAAAAATTCCACAGCCAGGTTTACCGCCACCGGGTTCAAGTTCTGCACATTAGCCTAGGATGAAGTATAATTAGCCTAGAGAGGTATATCTAGCCACTCCTTTATTTCACTTATATTTTTAATTCAGTGATTTCTACTGTTCAAATATACAATAGTAATTTTGTATATTTTTCCAATTTTTGTTAATTCCCTGGATTAAAAAATAATAAATAAAAACAAATATAGTTTTCTGAAGGCTTTATAAATTTGAACTTTAACCTTTAGACGTTTCTCACCGTAATTTACCAAAAGCAAGCAATAAAAAATTGATTGATGAGAATTTGGAATGGGAGTATTAAACGTTGTTAAAACCATGGTTTCATTGGTTTAATCTTACCATGCTAGAGATAAAGTAAGATAGTAATTGAAGGAAGATTTAGAAGATTCGACAATAGGGACATACATCATCAAACGAAAACTTGTAGAGCTACAATTCTAAATTCCAAAGCTATACATAGAGCTAGCTGGAAAAATTATATCCACACATCTTGTACAAATATATCTCATCGCAGCTGATTCGATCCTTGAAATCATGACTCTTCTATCTGTCCGCACATCTAAGTCTGCGACAAGACTGAACAAGTAGAAAGTGGAAATGATCGATGGGTGTCACTCAGATCACAAACCCCGGCTCTTGCAAACCGGACGAATTTGCAGGTTGTTTTGTTCGTTGGAAAGTTGCTATAATGACGACCCTCATTTCGTGCAATCAGTCGAGTCTAACCTTCTGGACACATGACGATCAAACCTACTCATTGTCAAAGCATCTACCAGCAGGTGATTCTAACCTCGATGTTGATGGAGGTTAGAATCACCTGCTGCTGGTAGATGCTTTCTGTGTAGGAGGAGGAAGCGACAGTCACTTGCAATTCACTAGCGTCAAGTCCAGAACAGGATTCCCGAGAGAGACCTTCTTTACGTCCTTGTGGTCAGAATTCAAGTCATCGACTCAACATCGACCGAGCCGCCATATAATGCTCTCTATGTACTCGTGTCGCCGAAGGCAAGTGACACTTTTCCGAAATCTGGGAACCGCTTCGAATGATGTAAGCATGGACGCAAGATTCAACGCTCGTGTCTCGCTCCAGAGCGTGGTGTCGCAAGTGTGCACTCTTGTTCTAGAATCACTCTCTTCGCTTCCAATCGGGATGAACAGAAAGTCCTCGCGCGGGGACTTCGTCCGCCAGAAGCAAACGAAATTCTCTCCCCAAAAAAGATGCCACAGTCAACACTCGAGCCAGAAATAATCATAATTTTCGGAACCTGTCGAAGCACCAAGAGCTGCAATCGCAGATCAGACTGAAGAAAGAAGAAAGGAGAGAGAGAGACCCGAAGAATGAAGGCCCGGCCCGATGACAGTACAGTACGGGGGAGGGCATATGTTCCAAGTGGACCAGTAATATGCGGATCCGCGTGACACGTGGTACGGCGCGGGGCTCTCCACTTGTACACTCACCCTCGTCAGCGCGGCGCGAAGCCTCTGCTCTGCGAAGCCCCGGGACGCTTCCACGACCCCTCCCCTCTAACGCCCCCTCGTTCCCCCCCCAGGCCACACCGGGTTCCTCATCCCCTCTCTCTCTCTCTGTCGCTGTTTCGCTGCTCTGCCCGAAGAAGAAGAAGGTGGGCCTCTCTGGAGCGAAGTCGATCGGTCGCAGGGCCCGAGAATTCTGTGTACCTTCCTTCCTTCCTTCCTTCTCTCACAGCAAACGATCCAATCCATTCAGGTACACAATCCCGCCAACACCCCAACCTCCGCGTCCTGCTCCTGCTCCTCCTCCTGCTCCCACTTCCACTTCCGATTCCTGCTTCTGCAGCGTCGACATTTCATCGAAGCTCAGCTCACGTACGAAGGCGCTCGCTCGCTCGTCTGCTCACGCCCACGCTCTCACTCTCTCACGCCGACGGTATATCAGACCTCGGCCATCTGCAAAGGAGCTCAGTGAGTGCAGATGCAGATCGCCCTGGGAGCAGTAGGAGGAGGAAGCAGGACGATCGCAGCTCCATCGTCGCTCGCAGGTTTGCGGAATTACAGCTTGCAGAATCGGAAGCAGCAGCAGCAGCAGCAGCGGCTGCTGCAGAGGAAGGAGGAGCGGAACGAGAGGCAGCAGGGGATAGGGCGGAGCTCGTGGAGGAAGAGGAGGAGAGGGTTTTTGACGATGACGGAGAGCATGAGCGAGGGCGTGAGGCAGATGACGGTGTCGCCGAGCGGCAAGCAGTGGGTGGAGAAGGGCGGGCTGCAGGCCATTCCGCGGCTGGACGATTACCTGGGCCCGCTGCCGAGGATCTCCAACCCCATGATCAACAACAAATTCTTCAAGCCCGCCGAAGGATTCTTCGTCACGGATTACGACGTCTGCTCGCAGTTCGTCGCCTTCGACACTCGCCATCTCGGCACGCCTGTCTACTTCCTGCGCGCCGGCCCCAGGGAGAGCGTGGTATTCAAGCCCCACGAGGTCAAGGCCGCCATCGTCACCTGCGGGGGTTTGTGCCCGGGCATCAACACTGTCATCCGCGAGCTCGTCATGGGGCTTTCGGATTTGTACGACGTGCAGAGCATCGATGGCATCAAGGCCGGGTACCGAGGGTTTTACTCCGGGGACAAGATGAAGCTGAATCGCCATGTGGTGGACGACTGGCACAGGAAGGGAGGCAGCGTTCTGGGCACTTCCAGGGGAGGGTTCGATTTGGAGAAGATCGTCGACGGCATTGAAGAGGCTGGCTACAATCAGCTGTATGTGATCGGCGGCGACGGCACCATGCGCGGAGCTAGTATGATTTCCGAGGAGATCACGAAACGAAACCTCAAGATTACCATGACTGCCATCCCTAAGACTGTGGACAACGACATCGGCATTATCGACAAGTACGTTCATCAATCTTCCAGTTTTTCCCCCTCTTGCATGCCCTCACTCTCTAGAGCTTCTCGTCTCTGCAGCAGGCGACGGTCTCCTCGCCTTCTCCTTCTCCATCTCCAGGCTTCCAGCTCGAAGGGGATCGCTGACTGTCAAGTGTCGGCAAAAGTCCAGAATCCAAATTAACCGAGAAATTTTAGAATCAAACGGGGTCCTTAAAACGAGATCGTTTCTTCCAGCAGCTCGATTCTAGACTCGATGCGTCGGAGTCGTAGATGACTGGTCCCACGGTAGGACTGAGCGTGCATTGATATGCACTGAGCGTGCGTGAAAGATAAACTGTGTTTTTGTTGTTGTTTTTGTTGTTTTTGTTGTTGTTGTTGTTTTTGAAGTTGAATTTTGGTGTTGAATTTTGGGGTTGAAGTTCGACCTGCTTTCACTGCAGACGTACCTGAGGCATGGTGTTGATTGGCTCTCTGAAATGTCCAGGTTTTCATCTAAACCATGAAAGGTCGAGCTCGTGTCCCCCTTTGCTGTCTAACCTTCGTAAGCTTTCGCGTCTAGAGAAAATTCAAGGCTAAAGCCGATGGATAACATTCTGCGAATTGAATTCATAAACAGAGCAGCAATCTTATGATGATTCTTAACCCTTCTTCTTTGACGCTCATGTCCTCTGATCGGATCCTGAACAATGTCAACTCGTTCTCCATTGACACCTGCGCATGTCAAAACGAGCATGTTTTGTCTTGAGAGATTGCAGCTTGAATTCCACGAGAATCTGTCGTTCAGGCAACCGACTGTCGATGGCATTAGGGCATAGGAAATTGAGAACGACGATTTGTATCGAGTCGGTGAACGTCGTAGTAACTCGAATGTCGTCTCGGGCTTTGTCTGCTCACTCTGAATCGAATCGAAGAGTGCTGGAGTGGAAGAGTGGTCGAGTGGAAGTGGAGGGAGGCACCATGACCTGACGAGGCTGTGTGTGGATTGTGAGGCGCAGATCATTCGGACTGGACACGGCGGTGGAGAAGGCGCAAGCGGCGATCAGTGCAGGGCATGTGGAGGCGCAGAGCACACCGAACGGGGTCGGGGTGGTGAAGCTGATGGGGCGCAACGCGGGGCACATCGCGCTGCGCGCGACGCTGAGCAGCAGGGATGTGGACTGCTGCCTGATTCCGGAGGTGCCATTCTTCACGGAAGGGCCCGGAGGATTGTTCGAGTTTCTGGACGGGAGGATCAGCGAGAACGGGCACTGCGTGGTGGTGGTGGCGGAGGGCGCAGGGCAGGATCTGATCCCTCGCACGGCCGAGCAAGGCTTCGATGACTCGGGCAACCTGCAGCTGCTCGACATCGGCCAGTGGCTCGTGGCCGAGCTGAAGAAGTGGTGGAAGAAGCACAACCCTGACAAGCTCTTCGCCGTCAAGTACATCGACCCCACTTACATGGTGCGCGCTGTGCCCAGCAACGCTGCCGACACTTTCTTCTGCACCTTGCTGGCCCAGTCGGCCGTGCACGGCGCCATGGCTGGCTACACCTCGTTCGTCGCCGGCACCGTCAATGGCGTCTACTGCTACATCCCCTTGGATCAGATCTCGCAGTCCACTCACAAGGTCGACATCCACAATCACATCTGGGCCTGGGTGCGCTCCATCAATAGCCAGCCTGACTTCAAGGCCTGCGAGAACCGGAACAGCAATGGCAGTGCCTCAGACATGGATCTCAATTTCACCCCAAAGGAGAAAGCTGCAGCAGCTGAGAAATCTGACTAACTTTTCTTCTCCTTTTTCTTCCTCTTTTTGTACAGCATTTGGCGCAAATTCTCTCTCTCTCTCTCTCTCTCTCTCTCTCTCTCTCTCTCTCTCTCTCTCTCATTGGGGAAGATGAGAAGGTGGAATTGAATTGGGCAGATCAACGCTGATGGAGGAGGGAATGAGTTTCTGACAGTCTGAAAGGTGACTGTAAGGATAGAATATATTTCTTCGTACAGGGGGGGAGGACCGAGGTCCCATGCGCTGCGCTCTGATGGATCTCGTCTAGCATTCCACTATCACTTCGCAACTAGAGGCGGAATCTCCGGTCCGAGCGGCTGATCTGAACACATGGAGATTGTAGGAAAATCGTCGACACATTTTCTCTCGACTCGTAGTAGTTAGTCCGTAGGGAGCCTTGCACGAGTTTTTGTAAAATCCGATGTACAGCTGATCCGAGAAAAAATAATTCTCTTGCTCTACGACTTCTGTTGTGGACGGAAAGCATATCCTCGTACTGTCGTCGTCATGTCCTTCTCCATTGAGTCCTGAGCACTTATGTGTCTAACGGTGACCCCATGAGTTTATTCTGGGCGTCGACTCATGACTCATTCTGTGTCTCTCTCTAAGCTCTGCCGCACGAAATTGGTACACTCCGAACAGAAATGCTAACCGCGTGCGGCTTCAGGTTGGAATGATACGCAGTCTGGATCACTTCGGAAGTCGAGGGACAAGGGACGTGCCCATAATGAAGAATAACCGAAAAATGTACATTGGTTGAGATTCGGATACGACATGAAAGATGTGGAGCGAAATGCTTCTATTTCTCCAGGACAGAAGGAACAGAATGAAGCACGGACTCGGCAACCGTCGACTTTTTTTCAGGAGATTATAACAGAATGCCTAAGCCTGTGAAGAACGTGCAAAACTCTCGAGCTGTATGTATAACAAGCGAGCAGGTAGTGCAGATAAGACTTTGTGACCCATAACCTGCGTTGATGAGGGAGTGGCAGTGCAGAGCTATCTTCGAGAATCCTCTACAATCATTGATTCGCAGCTCGAGAATTATACATTTCTTAGATTCACTGATTTTGGTAAAAGAAGACACGCGGGAACACGAAAAAGAAATAGAAAGGGCTGAGGAAAGAATGCTAAGGACTACATGCGTGAAATGATCAAGAATGTGAACTCCGTTGGGTTTCACGTTGACCCGTGAGCAACTCTCACACTGATCTCGTGCCGTCATTCTCGATCCTCTCCATGTCACCAGTTACTGCTCTTTGAAGAGCAATATAGAATTTGGTTACATCTCTGCGAGCAAAGAGAAGCGTAAAGAGAAATGGCCTTACAGTCAACATCAACTTCGTCATAATATATTCCCTGGAGCAGGAATGGAAGTGTGTAAAAGTATCATCGCAACACGGCTCAACTATGACTGCGCTGGATGGACAGTTTGCCCCGTCACGGGAGGATAAATGGACTTTCTGATGAAGACTGTAATGCTGAGTGTGAAGAGCTCCCAAGTACCTGATGCCGTGGTCCTTCCAGGCTGGGGGATTTCCTCCACAATGCAGGATTCCTGTTTCTCATGCTGTACGCGCTGCAGGCCCGGGCTGATGACATGTGTTCAGAGCTCCGTGTAAACACTGCGCAGATTCCAGAAGACTTGGGCAACATTGCACACTCGACCAGCAGCAGCAGCGCTTGGGAAGTTGTCCATGCTCGGACAGCTCGATGTGCGAGCGGTACCTCAGGTTCAGCGCATGCAAGGCGACTTTTGTGCCAGCTCGCGAGCCTTTTCCGGACATTCAGTATGACTTGGGGCACTCTGGAATTCCCTTGGCACATCTGCTGGCTGGAGAGACAGCTGACGAAGTGTCGCTTCTGCACCGTCTGGTCCGGAATTCAGAGCCACTGCCAACGATACAACGCACCATTCCTCCAGACTCCCAGCTGTTCGTTCTCCAAAATGCTGAGCTCGGCTGCCAATTCTATTCTACTCTTCCATATTTCTTCAGATTTTCAGTACTTTTCATGCACTTACCAAACCAAAAGCGAGACTCGTCATGCAGCAAGGAGTCGATATTTCGAAGTCGAGCAGATTGGACAGATTGGACGAGCCAAAGACAAAGACGAGGCCGAGCTATCGATATATGTTTTGCTTCATGCACTCGATTCGTGACAGGTCCCCTGCAACGGAAGCGTTCACGAATCACTTCGGTGCTTGATATCCATGCCATGCTACCTTTCGAACATGGCCACCAACAGCCTTTACACAGCTTCATGACTCGATGGTTTAGGAATTCATAAAGTTTAGTACAAGTACGAAGAAGATGGAGTGAACTTGAGTACATGAGTACCATTCATCAGTTGGCTCATCATGTCCCCAGTATGAAAGTAGTTTCGGTTACGTCGACAAGGTTTGGTTATCAGTTCAAAGTATTACCTCTTCAGATGCTATTATTATGAGGTACATATGAGTAGGAAGGAGACTAGCTACACCAAACAAGAGACATATTTATATTTACTTCGTGAGTAAATGTTATTGTTGCATATGGGATGTTTGATTATCTTAACATAGCACAGTTTTAATATTTTAAGAGGGTTTGATAGCGATAGCCAAGAGAATTAAAGGGGTATGTCAACTTTTAGTTCAACTAGCCTTGTAGTTGTATGAAGCTATGGTAGTTTACTTAATCATGTTCGTTAGAGTATGTACTGAAAACCTATAAAACAAGATGATAATCATCACTCTTTTTAGCATCTTGAATAAATTATGCAAGTCAACATGTTTCTATATGCACGAACAATAACTCTAGTTGATGTTTCTTCTGATTTTATCCTTCTTGACCTTTCTAGTTGGGATTATTTTGGAAGAGCATGATATGTATTCCGTTGTAGTACTATTGAGCGGCTCATCTTCCTCATTTACAATATTAGATGTATACTCCCATTTATATGTATCCCTACAAGTTTAGGTCAACGGGTTACCTTTGCAAAGATGAGATTGATTATATTTAATACTTATATCAATCATTTGGATCCAAAAAATCACAGCATTGTAGACGTATGTTATTAATGTTTATTAATGTTGAAGTAAGCCATGTATGTACTCTGTAATATGATACGGTATGTAGAGAAGCAATGTTTTTCACCCGGGTTTATTTTACATGGGGGCAGTAATGACGAATTGATTTGGAAATGGTGATAACTGTGGAGGGGAGAGTGTCATGCGACTCGATATTGCCATACATCATACATCGCTGACATGCTCTACTCACAACTCACACATACGTACATAAAGAACGAGAGTGTCCACACACAAATGTATCACAACTGAAAAGTTCGAAATACAAAACAAAGAATCAAACCAAACTCACTCCACTTTCGGAGACCTAGAGTCGAAGCTAGTGGGAAAATCCCGTACGCAAAAGGCTAAACTCAAAGAATTGACAGTTCTTTGAGCTCACCTCGACTATACTTTCCACCGAGAGTCGATCCAACTCAACGCTCCTCGACCGTCAGCTGCGTCCCAACTTCAGCCGACTCCCAACATTACCCGAATCCCAACGTCACTCGACTCAAACTCAAATCCAACGTCTCGAGCCATGACAGTTGTCGTGCGACTCGGTATCGCCATACATCATATATCGCTGACATGCTCTACTCACAACTCACACATATGTACATAAGGAACGAGAGTGTCCACACACAAAGTTATCACAACTCGCCCCTGTAGTTGGCGGTCAGGTCCCTCTGACTTCCAGGTAGCCCTATCTACAACTACATGCTATGCACCTTCATGAGCGCGAACCAGTAGGCCGAGTGCTATGTCGCCCCATCGTTAGTCGCATATCTGCAATTCATAACATATGAAGATCAAGTCATCTACCCTCGGAAGTACATTGAGGACAAACCCACCATCCAGTAGGAACAACATCGATAGGTGGAGTCAGACACGACATGTGCCATCCCCTAGAACACCTATAACACACCTACATGTTGGCCGCCTGATCAACTGACCCACATAACATGCACCTCAAGCCGACACTTACAATCGTCAAGCTTGTGTACATAGTACCATCCACGTTTGGGAGATGGCATGGCGCACAGTTGCGGACATGATACTTTTCAAATGACACCATCACAACCCTCCAACATGAGAACTCCAGAAGGTAACACCTCTCGCACTCGCAAGATAGTGCGTCCTGCTGTCACATTCAATGTAGTCGGTGCAGTCTGCTGTAAATAGACGTAGTCTCCCACACGGAACCTACTAATCGATGGTCGATAACCTCCTCCCCGGATGGTTGCATATCGCAATGTATCCATGTGTTGAGCAATCGCAAGGTTCTCAAATGCTGCAGGCATAACTCTCCAAAAGAGCGCTGCACGTTGAGATCACTCTCACCCACATGTCTTGATCATCAAGATTCATCACCTCACTAGATTCACAACGAATCGATGCCGACAAGTCTGGGTCTCTGCCCGTACATTAGAAAATATGGTGAGAATGAAGTCATGGATGCTTGACGACTAAATCGATATTCCATGGCCAGCCATGGTACTTGAATATCCCAATCTTCAAGATGCCCATTGTGTAGGCCATACTTGCACAACGCTATCTTCACAATCTGTACAACACGCTCAGCCAAACCATCCGCCTCTGGATGATCTGGAGACGTGGTCCGGTGATCAATCAACGTCTTGTCACACAAGACCTTAAACTTATCCTAAAACTCTGTCCCTTGATCGGTTAACACCTCAGTTGGTGCATCAAAGTGATTAAGCACCCTATCAAGGAAAGCATACGTTACTCCTTCACTCGCGTTGTTAGGTAATGCCACCAACTCAATTCACTTGGAGAAATGCTCCATCATCACTAACACATATGTATGATGTTGTACAATCAAAGGTAGTGGTCCAAAAAAGTCCAAACTCCAATGGTAATCCAATCCCATGATAGGTAAGTCATGTAACTCTGGTGTCAGGGCATTGATTGATGCACTCTACAAATCATTTGATCACAATGCAACGTGATACCAACTGCTGTACCTGCGTATGCATACCACACCATCAATAGTGACCAAGAAGTAAGCTGTATGTACGCTTCACTCCAAAATGTCCCAACTCCTCATGAGCATGCCTCGCAATGCGCGCTTTCTAAGCTGGATGCGGTACTACTCGTACGCTACTATCCTCCCACACTCGGAAAGAATATGTGATTCCTCCAATTGGTATCTTTTCGCCCGCTGGAGAACACGATCTTGCTTCTTGGCACCCACTGTGCTTGAAACCATACTGGTCCGTAGGAACTCCAACACCAACGCATCATCGTGAACATCACGCTGATCCAAACCACCATCTTCAACCTCAGGATCTGAAGATTGACTATCCACTCTTTAACTAGTGTAAGATGTCAAGTGGTACTCCCTACTAGAGGCTCCATGTAACCAACACATGAAGGCAGATGCATGCCAACCGGGCACCATCTCCTCATCAATCTCACCATGCCACATAGCTCCAATGTCATCCTCCTGGGTAGTGTATGGGTTCCGATTCAAACCATCGGCATCCAGGTTCGCGACTCCAGATCTATGCACAATCTGAAAGTCGTACTCCTGTAAGATGAGAGCCCACCGTGCAAGCTTCCCTGTGAGCTTGTCGGACTCCATCAACCACTTGAGCGGCTGATGATTAGTAACAAGGGCGAACTGCGTATCAAACAAGTAACATCTGAAGTGTGCCACAACCCACACCGCTGCCAGACACTCTCCCTCGTACAGACTATACCTCAACTCCGCTGCATTCTTTGAACGACTAGCGTACGCAACCACAAACTCCTTGCCCTCATCATCACGATGCGTCAACACCGCTCCAAGTCCCAACATACTCCAATCAGTGTGCAACTGGTATGGACGACCTCTGATAGATCTCCTCAAGATGGGAGCGGCCACCAACATAGCCTTGAGCTCAACAAAAGCTCTCTCCTGCTCATCTCCCCATTGCCACTCCTGATCCGACTTCAGCAATTGGTTCAAAGGCCTGGCTATAGCACTGAACCCCTTCACATACCTCTGGTAATAGTTTGCCAAATCCATGAATGCACGAACCCTACTCACATACGCCGAACAAGTAATGCGCGCAATAGCCTCGATCTTTGCCTGCTAAACTCTCAAAACACATGGGTAGATCACATGACCCAAGTACTCCACTTTCTCTAGGAAGAACTTACACTTCCTAGGATGTAATCGCAAACCATGAGTCCTCACCCGCTCAAGCACAATCTGCAAATGTATCTGGTGTTGCTTCACCGTGTTGCTACACACAAAGATATCATCAATGTAACATTTGACAAAATCTAGCCACGTTAGGATCCTATCCATAACTCTCTGAAACTTGGCAGGTGCATTCTTCAACCCAAAGGGTAAGAATCGCCACTGATACAAATAGTCCTTGCTGTGAGAGTTGACATCCCAAAACGCTCTTGGCCTTGTTCTCCTCCCGAATCGACAACTGATGGTATCCTACTCGAAGATCCAAAGTACTAAAAATCCTCACATGTCCCACCACATTGAAGATCTCCTCAAGTGTAGGCATGGCATACTTATCAAACTTCGTCAGCCGATTGATAGGACGGTAATCTTCACACATCCGCATATGCGTGTAGTTGCCATGTACATCCTTCTTCACCGGCATGACAGTGGCTGATGCATACTCACCATGCGACAACTCCACTAACCCAGCCTCAAGTAAGTCTAACGTCCAAGTCCGAATCAAGTCCCTTTCCATATCACTATATCGATAGGGACGACGGAAGATTGGCGTATCACTAGCCAATTCTATCCGTATACCGGGTCCAATAAACACACCCAATTCCTTCATACTGAAGGCAAAACAACTCTTATGATCTTGTAGAAATTGTGTCAACTGTCGTCTCTTTGTTCATGTGATATGGGAATCAATCAATGGCTCCCATCTCTCCTCCATAGACACACTAGAGGAAGGCGACACTATCTATGGTTGCTATGCTACATCCTCCAAAGAAGGGTTCTCCATACCCTTCTTCTTAGCCACCTCCACATGAAAATCATCTCCAACTGCATGGGCTGCAACTCTAGCAAGTCCTATCGTCACATCCCATGAACTCTAAGGATGACTAATATCTCGCCTGTCGCCTCCAGCCATTGTCACTACCGTCCCGGTAAACAATGAGCTAACGAGTGGTGTAGCAACCACCAAATCAACGCGCAAACGGCGTTGCTCGGCCAAACCCAAGCTCACAATTCATGTCAAGCAGTTCAGGTCCACAGCTTGACCCAAAACCTGACGACGTGACGCCTCTGAAACTTAAGAAGCCGCAGTTAGGCCAGTCATAAATTCCATCGCACACTCTCTTTCATCAGCGTTGGGCTCCACCAACTGATGTTCTGTAGAATCCCCAAGTAGCCCAGGTCCACCATCACGATAGGCATATGATGCCGGATAACTAACCAACATACGTGAAGCC